TAAAACGTCCATGTCTCGAATCTGCAACGACTTCACATTTCGCCCTACAAAAACAGTTCTGTAAAACTCTATCACTGAATAGTTAACTTAAACTCGGTGATGACGCAAATGGTTTTGCACAAAAAGTAGACATTAACTGAAAGTGTAGGCTCGGATGTGAAAGTGTAGGCTCGGATGTGAAAGTGTAGGCTCGGATGTGAAAGTGTAGGCTCGGATGGGAAAGTGTAGGCTCGGATGAGAAAGTGTAGGCTCGGATGGGAAAGAGTTCTGGCTGGACGTGGCAACGTTTGGTTCGATAGAAATGAATATTTTCAAACTCTTCTCACTCTCAAATAAGTAAACTTTAATCCATATAAAAATAATGAGTGTCCAGTGAAGCCTCGCAAAGCTCCCCGGGATCATACATGATATTCACTTTACGCGCGTGGTCTGTTGGAAAACACCTGACATAAAGATAGAGCCCTGATCGGCCTGAACAGCTCCAGACAAACTCAACTTAGAGAAGAACTTTACTAAAGCCCTGATAATAACCTAAGCGTAATCTTTCCTGAAGAAATAGCCATTTGAAACCTTGGGGATGCACACCCGAGAGCTAGCATGACCTTATCATCTGACTTAATTTTAGACAAAGAACCAACACAGTTGAATAGCAGAATTCCAACGGAGTTGATCTTACACGCTGTAAGAGGTTTGGAGAGGGTCCAGTGGAGGTGGAAGAAAGGTTCTCCCTGTCCTACACTTTGATACGATGGCAGGTGTGCTCCACAGCGAGAATACTCGGTATGCGCATCATTTTGACAGGGGAGCTGTCTGATTATTGGTCATATGTACTTTCATGAAAGTGTGAGGCAAGGACATTTGTTCATTCAATATGTGTTTGGCTATTTCCAAAAATGCACACAATTTGACAAAGTGGTGGCTAATATATTTAGGTTATGGCTAGCTTTAACACAGCAGTAAAAATATAATTCTCTATTTTTATGTAAACATTGTAACACTTTTTTGTATCACGCCACGAGGTTCAAACATGCGATGCGAACAATTCGTTTGAACCATACAAATGGCGCAATGTTATCATCGGATCAGATGATTATTGACAGCAGCTGCAAACATTACAGGACTCGATGACAACTGTGAACAGCTTCACTCACGTTTTACAGTAAGACTACCTTTAGTAATACTATAATATCAACGGAACTGGTCACTTCAGAAGTCAACCTAACATAATCACGTCAGCAATATTCGGCCGCGCTAGGCATTAATTAGTTGTTTAACACATTGCATCACCATGGAGCTTCAAAGAACGAAGAAATGGCGAAATATAGCCTCGTGTAAAAATATTTAATGAGATTAAGCCACATGCACGTGCCGTTGGTGGTTTATTACGTCAAGGGGTGGTAGCAACGAACGCAGAAGACGCCAGAAGTTCTCCATCAATAATGGAACGCTATACCTCAACGTCAAATTCAATGTCTGGTACATCAATGAAGTGTAGGGTTTAGGGATGTGACTGCAGATGTTGGCGGAGGTTACACTTGACATTGACAATGTGTTCGGTTATTGATACAATGTTGAGGATTGTATTCCAGAATGTTGAACATGACGGCACTTAACACCATACGACAATAGGTATCGGTACCGTAAGATTGGGTGTCACGGCGAAAGTACCGAAAACTATTAAAACCGTCATGTTAACTCCATTGTGCACAGTGGCTGCTCCGTCAAAACGCTAGTGTTCACGGCAGTATCAATATCTCCCTCAGTATCAACTTGAGTGAGTGAGTGAGTTTGGTTTTACGCCGCTTTTAGCAATATTCCAGCCATATCACGGCTGGGGACACCAGAAATGGGCTTCACACATATCAACTTGAAGTAAAAAATACGCGAAACTCTAACTTATGCCAAATAAAACTTTACTGCAAATTACATGTTTGTTGTTTGGAAAGTAGTTCCGTAATATACATGTATATACATATATATATATATATATATATATATATATATAAATAAATGGGCAAATCCGACCTTTGGGCGACACGCATATATATACACACACGCACAAGTAACGCAAGTCAAGTAAAAAGAAGGTATATATGTAATTTCCAATATTAAACACAAGAAATGCAATCAGGGTCAGAGAGACAATCATTAAGTTTTTGAAAAGTAAAGGGGTTGACAAGAACAGATCTCGCTGGTGTTGATGGGTAATGTGCCGATCTTGTCGAGGGGTGGTGACCCTAGGACGACCGCTCCGAGGAAGGTCATCTGTGATCTTTGTAGCATTGTATCGATGCTGGAGACGGTAAATAGTGGTTATGTTTACGTCGAAATGACACTCCAGCTTCCCAACGTCTGATAGCCTGGTTTCTTTCCATTGGAGTTAAGCGTGGCATTGTTGAACAAGGAGTGATGGGCCCAATGTTTGTGCAGTCTTATACCCACTAATGGTGGTGACAATTCGTGCATGTTGGATTTCACGAGAATTGTGTGCATGATACCCTCATGTTCATTGGCATGGTGCGTTTGGGTGATTCCTTCTGTTGATGTGTTTTTGCTCGGGCCTTCCAAAACGCAACAATAATTATTGATAACATCATCAGGCTTCAAGATATGCCCAAAACCCATATCAATTTAGTTCCTATTGGAAAAAAAAAATTGCGTTTCTTATGCGTGTGAGTATATAAATATATTTATCTTCTATCCAACCAGAATGAAACATTTCACAAAGTTAACACTCAAAACCAGTAATACTGTCAATGGGCAATTCAAATATCCTTAATAAAGTATTAACGCTCTTAGACTGAGAAATAAAATTCGTAAACACGTAACAATTTTAATTTAATACCATACGTTTTGATATACACACCTTTTCATGGAATAATTGCTTACAACTATCCTGCAAACGTTTATAATTATCATTAAACGCACTTTGCGTCGCCCAAATTGCGTACATTGCAAACATTCCCAATATATTATTATTCTACAAATGTCTAACCCTTGCCATATTAACACATATACACAAAGGGAAAATGGCATCTCAACTTCCCATATTTTTCATAGGATCAAAATATGTTGATAAAAAAGTTGATCCTCAAAGAATAATCAAATGGCCAGTCTAAACGGAAAAAGAACGAAAAACTGTACTGTTGTAGTTTTTTCAGGGAAGCCAACATGGCAAATCATTCATTTTCAACATTCTGGTATACAGTCCTCAAGAAATCACATCAGTATAAATAACGGAACTGAAAGTTAATATCGGTGTAATCTCCAAAGACGGCAATAACTTCCCTGGCCCTTCTCTCCACTGACTGTGACAGCCGTTGAAATTGACGTTGAGATATATTGTTTGAGTGTTTGGTCCAACACATCAAGATATTTACTGGCGTATCACTTTGGTATATTCTGCGACCCAGAACATCCTCTGTGGGTTTGAAATCTGGACTCTTTGCGGGCCAAGGTAGGGTTACTACCGCATCTTGACGTAAGAAATCACAAACGGAACGTGCACTTTGTGGCCTAGCATTCAGAAGATGGTCATCGAAATGTGGTACAACAACCATATCTAGGAAGTCAGTGATATACTGTTGTCCATTCAGACATTGCCTCATCATCAATTTGACAGTCAGTTACAGTGTTTCTGCGGCATCAAACACGAGCTTGGCCATCAGACACAAACAAAGGGAATCAACTTTCGTTCGACCAGTAGATTCTTCCCCATGACCTCAAAATCTAGTGTAGTCAAGCTTGACAACAAACCTGTGCTGTTTTATTTTTGAAGGACGTCTGATTGGTCCTCTGGCTCTATACCCGGCCGATGTTAGGCGATTTCGGACTGATCTGTTTGGCAAACGACGATGTGGAAGCCAGTCTGCCACTTGACATGAACGCAGAAGTCTTGTGATTCTGATAAGGGCTGTATCCACATTAGAGGTTGTCATTCGTGGTTGACCTGAACGCTGATGGTCCTTAACGTCTTCTTGATGTTTTCTGGCCAGTCGGGACCCGTGAAGATCCGGGGCAGAATAGGTCTTCAGCAACCCATTCTTGTCATAAAAGGCGACTATGCTTGTCCTTAAAGGCGACTAACGGGATCGGGTGGTCAGGCTCGCTGACTTGGTTGACACATGTCATCGGTTCCCAATTGCGCAAGACCGATGCTCATGCTGTTGATCACTGGATTGTCTGGTTCAGACTCGATTATTTACAGACCGCCGCCATATAGCTGGAATATTGCTGAGAGCGGCGTAAAACTAAACTCACTCACTCACTCACTCACTCACTGGCCAGTCGGCTGATTATCGATGGATGACAATCAGCATCTCTTGTAACGGCCCTAAATAACATGTCAGCATTACGTGAACCGATAACTTGCCATCTTTGAGAAAAATTGTCTGTTGAGGAGACCCACTATTTGCTTCTCGACAACGAAATCCGTTGATATTCTAGGTAATCAATTTGAAACGGTTTCACATTTTATTGAGAAGTGTACAACCGTTGCGTTGGTGTCGAGTTCTAAAACATTAGTATATGGTTAACCAGACGTAAAACAATAGTATCCAATTGCAAACTATAACATATGTAGGTAGGTATATACAGGTAATACAACCGCTCTTACTGAACGTTTTAATAATATATTGGTATTATAATAAGATATATAATGTAGATATAAGTAAAACAATACGCTATAGATATTTAGACAATGTGAGATATACTGTGCGTCTGGGATACAGAGGTTAAACAACAGGCTCATGTTATGGAGAGAAAACCAACAATTGTATGTTGGTATAGAGAGGTAATGTAAGTGATATCATCATCGACGCAGAGAAAAATGTAGTTATAATCCCACCATATCAGTTGTGTGAGCAAAAATCCCCAAACCTAGCACAATGTAGCATTAATATACTGGAATTCCTATTCCGATTGGCAGATACATGTAGCTGACATAGAAAGGCAGAACCATCAGCTGAGTATCTGATGCTATATTCGTGGGTGAGAGGCTGACTGACCCATCCAGTCCATACCATTATTGTCATCCGTTACAGGTAAACCTTCCTTTCATACGAAGATTTTTCATTTTCGTCCGTAATACATTTAAACCGTTCAATGTCTACTTCCTTACATTTCACGAACCAAGAAATTAGTTCATGTCCCAGAGCATCGACCATATATTTGTCATCTTCAAGATCTTTCAAAGCCTCTGAGAGGGATTTAGGCAAGGGCTCAGTGTTCTTCAGATTCCCTGGAGCTGGACATTCCAGCTTGTTCTTCACCCCGTCCAAGCCAGCAGCTATAGTGGCCGCCATGACAATGTAGGGATTGCTTTTTCCACTCGGCATCCTGTTTTCTAAATAGGTTCCTGTAGGTCCGTGGTTCTTGGCACGGAGAGAGGCATCACGGTCATCAATTCCCCAGAAGATCCCCCCTGGTGCCCAAGGCTGATGGAGTCTTCGGTAGCAGTTTATTGTCGGGGAGGTTAAGGCAGCCAGTGCCTTGCTGTGTCGGAGAATCCCCGCTATCCACTGTTTAGCCATGGGAGTGAGGTTGTCTGTGGAACTGACGTCATAAAATGCATTCTCACCAGTATCTTTGGACAGAACGGAGAAACTGTAATGGCATCCTGCTCCGGTGTCATCAACATCTAACTTTGATATGAATGAAGCCTTGACTCCATTTTGTTCAGCTAATTCAAGTAGGCCCTGCTTCAGATTGAAGGCAACATCGGCAGCATCTATGCCAAATTTAGGTTCCATGACAGCCTCGAACATACCAGGAGAATATTCAAGATGAATCTTCTGGACATCTATTCCAGATTGCTTCAGTTGACTGTCGAATTTATACACATATTTTCCCCATTTGTTCAATGCCTGATGGCACATGTATGGTTTACCGGTGAAAACGGGAGTTAAGGTTTTCGCATCAAATAGGAAATATTCCATTTCAAAACCAGAATAGAACTGAAGCCCCAGGTCGTCCAGTTGTTTCAACTGTTGCCTAGCGACATATCGTGGACATGCTGCCTGAGGTGAAAGATCTCTTTTCCAGCGTGACTCGCACAGGACTTCTGCGACCTTGAATGTATTTTCACCTGCCCATGGAATTGGTCTAAGTGTGTCAAGATCTGGGACTAGAGTCACGTTGCCATTGTGGTACCCTTTGTCTTGTGGCAAGATCACGATCTCGTGGTTGTACCCAAATAGTAATGTTCCTGAAATGATACAAATGTAAAGTCCGAAATGCAGAGGTGATTGAACGATATATATTATATAATAAATGACATGTATGATTAAAGGGATCGTCAAGTAGTGGAACAAACTTGTTGCTCATATAATGGCCTCTTTCTTGTCAAAATGCCTGCCCCCAAATTGTAATAAATAAAATGCATTTCAAATATTCTTTCTCAGTTTATATCAGATAGGAATTGTTTTCTTTTCATCCAGCATTTCCACCAACCATACAGAGTGGACAAATATAGATATTTTCAATTTACAGGTGAAACAGATTTTCTCGCTGTGACGATGTGAAGGTTTTTGTGCAACATATTGACATCACTTTAGATCTTTCATGTTCATACAGACGTAGAAGTAGAAAACTGCCATATCGGTAAATATATATGTCAATAATTATTGGTATCAGAGGACACCCTGTCGTGAACGTGAGTAGATTACGTGTTACCGTACAGCAAATACTGATGATTCTCATAATATTGACCACTTTTTTGTCTGGACCTGATTCGATTCCTTACAGACGGTAGCCATGTGGGACATATGTTACTAAGACCAACGGAAGACGAGCAATATACCTAGATCTGTTGAACATGCGCGCGCGCACGTACACACACACACACACACACACACACACACACACACATGAAAAAAAGTATCGCAACACTATTGATTGGTATCCTGGACACATCCGTGTATATTCACATCAAAATTATGTGTTGGGCGGTGGGATAGGCTAGTGGTTAAAGCGTTCGCTCGTCACGCCGAAGATCCGGGTTCGATTCCCCACATGGGTACAATGTGTGAATCCCATTTCTGGTGTCGCCTGCCTTGATATTGCTGGAATATTGCTAAAAGCGGCGTAAAACCAAACTCACTCACTCACTCACTCACTCACCCAAAATTATGTTTGTTTGTGTGATCGCACCATACCTTGTTACACCTGTCATCTTAACCCGGAAAACTTTTCTTTCAGCTTAATAACTTGGAAAGATCAATGGATATCGTTGTTGAAAGCAAGTATGGGGTCTCCTCAAGTGGCAACTGCTCAAAGGTGGCAAACTATTTCTTGTCGGAATGCTGGCATGTCATTTAGGGCTATTACAAGAGATGTTGGTTGTACCTCAATCGGTTATCAGCCACGTATGACAAATCCTACGGAGAATACAGCCCTTCTTAAACTCACAAGACCTCATCGTTCAGGTCAAGCGCCATGTTGAGAACGTAGAGGCTTCCACATCGTCCAACAGAACGGTCCGAAATAGCCAACAATCGACCGACTAGAAGGTCAGACGATCTACCAGACGTCTGTTTTTATCCCCAAAGCATAAAGCAGCACGATTAACTTGGTGTTAAGATCACCGTCACTGGGATTTAAGGATAGGGGAAGGGTATATTGGTCGGACGGAAGTCGGCATTCTGCTCATGGCAAATAGAAGAGCTCGCGTAGGGCGCCACAGAAACACTGCATATGCACAACAGGATATTTTAAAAATACCGTTTAGCAAGGGGCCATAGATAAATTCGCGGTGCCTCTAACATGACTAAAATTGACGTTTTGACGATCGAACAAAATCTGAATGGGCAGCAGTACATCGCTGACATCCTCAACAGAGTGGTTGTACCACAATTCGATGACCATCCTCTGAACACAAGTCCGGTCTTCGTGGACGACAATGCTAAGCCACATGCACGTGTCGTTGGTGGTTTATTACGTCAAGGGGTGGTCCAACGAATGCAGAAGACGCCAGAAGTTCTCGATCAATAATGGAACGCAATACATCAACGTCAAATTCAATGTCTGGTACATCAAAGAAGTGTAGGGTTTAGAGAAGTGATTGCAGATGTTGGCGGAGGTTACACTTGACATTGACAAAGTGTTCGGTTTTTTATACAATCTTGAGGATTGTATTCCAGAATGTTGAACATGACGGCACTTGGTAACGCCATGCGACAATGGGTATCGGTACCGTAAGTTTTTCGTTCATTTCGCCATTCAATCGTTCATTAAGGGTCAATTAACAGAAAGTAAGTGATATTGAGGTTTGCATAAGTTTCATTGCCAAGGGTAATGCTTACATATTGATACGTCGAAACATATGGCTTGTTGCGATATTTTGTCCGTGTGCATATATAAGGACGCTAACTTCTACAACTCTCTCTCTTTCTTTCAACTTTTCTTTCTCTACACCTCTAAATACTGTAACCACTATACCCTATACAATATGTTATCATTGCTTACCTTCAAACAAGTCTAGACCTCCTTGTAAGTATTTTACAGCGTACCTACTGTGCATCACAGGGCCACGGCTTGTTCCATTGATGTCACAGAGAGCAAACCTGATGTAGTCGTACTTGGCAATTTCGTCACGAGCCTTCTCCAGCTTGTCCATGGCTTTATAGATGGGCTGGATAGAGTAACGAATAGGGTCTGTGAGACGGATCAAGCTTTCGGGTTCGGACCGTATAAATATAGAACGGTGGCGCAAAGGAATACCTAGTGTTGACGATCCTCAGAAACAAATTATCCGGTTACATGTGTGCAGCGTGAGGTGGATGTGCCGTAAACCTACAGCGTCTGTCAGATAGGCTATATGTTCAGTCGATATAGTGGCAATTGAGGCGACATCTGCAGTCTGGCGAACACGCGTATTATATAAAGTTCAATGAACAAATTATTCACAGTGACGTGGAAATTATGGTTCTTGCTAGGTTTGCGGGAACAGTTGATGGAACTGCTGATTTTTGGCTTTTCGTGACACTTAAAAATCACCAAGGATGATATGTAGACTGCTGCCATCAGTGATTATCTTGTACACGACATCCAGATTGTCAGAACAAGATACATTTCCATCGCAAAGCCCTCCGTGTATTGGTTGGAGATTAGAATATACAATATTATTCTCGCCACAGATGATTCAGTATGTTTGTCACATTTAAAAGGAACTACAACAATAAATATATATCTATAAACAAAGAACATACCATTCACAGGGCCAAATAGGTTTTTTTTAAATTTCGAATTGTGTATCTAACCGATATAAGAAACGATTCATTTTGAAACATCCTCAACACATTCATACCATAACACCGTAAATACTAAATGTACTGTGCTGTGATATATTCCCTGTATGAAACCAACACTGCTATTCTGTGTGCGGCGTCAAAATAAAACACCATTTGACCTAACTATACACAGGCAATCGAAATGCACTAGATGTAAGTTGGGTACATCTTGTGCGATGCATAGCGATCGATTTTGGACTATTGTCCCAATAAACGTTTGATTCCAAAGACGATTTACCTTGTAGTAATGACAGGTGTTTATCTGACATCACTACCATATGTTTAATCCTCATCAGCAGAGTGTTGTTAATGTCCTGCCACGCTGTGCAGCTGTGTCACGAGTACTGACTGACTGACTGAGTTTGGTTTTACGCCGCTTTTAGCAATATTCCAGCAATATCACGGCGGGGGACACCAGAAATGGGCTTCACACATTGTACCCATGTGGGGATTCGAACCCGGGTCTTCGGCGTGACGAGCCAACGCTTTAACCACTAGACTACCCCACCGCCCCTGTGTCACGAGTAATCAGTCACCGTTGCTACTGACCTACTCCGTGACAGTTGACTTTGATTATCTCAGCTTTGACCCACAGCGTTGGGGCGGTGGGATAGCCTGGTGGTTAAAGCATTTGCTCGTCACGCCGATGACACTGGTTCGATTCCAAACATGGGTATAATGTGTGAAGCCCATTTCTTGTGTCCCACGCTGTGATATTGCTGGAATATTGCTAAAGCGGCGTAAAACGAAACTCGTGGTTCATGACCCAGTGTTGGGAAATGTTAGTCTGTTACTGTTTTTGTCATGAGCCTAACACTTCTGAAAGTAATTCAGATCTTGAAAAAAATCCGGGTATTTTTCCTTCTATATGGTAATTCGTTCTACGACTGAACAAAATTGTCCTGATAATGATTCTGGTTACGAGTTGGCTGTCAATTTGATGGATCATTCGCCTGGCCTCTCCAAATTTTCAGAGGAGAGTACTAAACATTCTGATTATTTGGCTGTTGAAGAACAATGGAGTATTAAGTTGCCTGGCAAAGTTCCAGTTTGCTATTATTTCAGTGATTTTTATGGTGAAAGAGAGGTAATGATCATGCATTGAGGTCTTTTCATCAGATTGTTCTTCCAAATTTGTATCAAAAATATGTTTTGAGTTTGGCTCATTAAACATCTTTGGCGGGGCATTTAGGGGGTGAAGAAAACTTGTGAAAAATGTATATCCCACATACTTTAGCCTAATTTGCGGCCTGACGTGGCTGATGGTTGGCAAACCTCATCAGACAATGTTAAACAGCTGCACCATGGAAACCCATTCCATGTCAGCTGGTTCATCACTGTCTGTGTTGGCCCTTTGCCTGAAACAAGGTCAGGTAATCCTGGTGTGTGCTTCCAAACAGTTTCCAGAAGATATTCCTTTATGAAAACATACGGTTTGGGTTGTGTATCAAGTGTTTTCCACCAAGCTACGTAGCATAACCGAGGTTACGTCTGGTTCATCTTGAATTTCAGTGATCTTTGGAGATGTTTCATCAGGCTCTTAAGTATTAAGGTATTCATTCGTTTCTGTTTGCTGTGAGGGTGGCAGCTCAGGCGTCCTTAGGATTTAGTTCTTTGATATTGTCTTTGACCATAACTTTTTTGAAGCACTTGAAGTTGCATTGGCCTAATTATAGGACCGAAATGAGTCTTTTCAGGCTTTCTAAAGTTTGTAAATTGTTATGGATAATTTTAAATAATCTCAGGATTTCCCTGGAGAGCTAATTTCCAAGGGAGTAGGGGAGTACCGCCAAAGCTAAAGAAACGGTGCTGGGAAGCATAATCGATGTCGGGAGTAGATAGATTTCTTTTCAAAACATTGTTACAACAGAGTGTTATCTTCTTCGCTTGTTTAGAACTCTATTTAAGTGGCCTTTGTATTTCAGATGTATTTAATCATATAAACATTCGAATAATATTCACTAGGCATAATTCTATTTCTATTCAAAACATTGTCATAATGGAGTATTTATCTTTTTCGATGTTAAGAACTTTATTTAAGTGGCGTTTGTACTTCAGATGTTTTAATTAGAGCACAATAATTATCAGGAAGCTCAATCCATATCGGGAGTAGATAAATGTCTTTTCAAAACATTGCTATAATGTTATATTTAAGTTGCAAACTGACACCGAGCCCTCATTCACATATCGTTATGGCAGATGCACAGGTTAGAGTTAACTTCATCGTGTCAGTTCGTGGAGGAAGGTCTCTTTATTTTGCTAGAAACAAGTTTCGCCTGGACCGACAGAAGGCAGACTCTGGTTACTGGAAGAACACAGAGGCCGGGTGTTCGGCACGTATCGTGACAAGTAAGGACCGACTTCAGACAGCGGAGCACTACCACAGTCATCCGGATCCAAACATCATCCTCGAAGTGGATGCTCTCAAGGCCAAGTTAATACATCGCGCCAAGACCGAGGTGACACCCATTTTGACATCGTATTCTTTACAGCTCGATGACAGAGGGTGAGGCTCCTTTCAAAGATCCAATTATCACAATCTAAAACAGTGAACTAGATCTTTCGGCAGTATATGAAATAAGGCCCGTCCGACTGCCCGAGACGGGCTAAATTTCTGACGGACGTTTTATATTTACTGCTAGCCAGCCCGACGGTCTGGTGCATATTTTAGATGTCCCATACATTTGAGTGAATTGTTGGTGTCTGGTCTGGTTAAAACCATTTGGGGCTGGTAACATTTTGAAGTTACCAGCCCTGATGTCTGGTTGGGTTTTTGGCTTATTTCATACACTGCCTTCGGGAGATCATTTTTTGTTTGTTTTCAGTGTCACCACGAGATTACTGAGTTAATTCAAACAGAACTTATTCAAGTTGATTAGGATTTTGACATATGACATACCAGCTTCTGAATGTCACTCAAAGAAGATTTAGACATTGTTTTACTTTGTGTCAATGACGATTCGATTCTGGATTTTGTTAAAAACGATGTCAGTTTGTGCTTACTCAGCATCTATATAACAAAATAAATAACACGCAGCAACATATGTGTTGATCTGGTATAGTGAGTGTTTACATACAATGTAACAGAGATAAGATACGAAATATTTTATTGCTGCCATATGATATGTGCATCAATAAAATTTAATCAAATGTACAATATAAATGTAATGTAGCGACCGGCCATTGAGGCCTATGAGATACAATCATGTCATTCAAAATGCAGTAAAATAAAAGAATACAGTATGCTGTTCCAACGTACCGTTTAAACTTTGAATATTTTTGGAGACACACATTACCAAATCCTGAATAAATCAGATAAACTGAACTGTGAATGTGGTTTTAAGAAATAATTATGGGATTTTTCAACTGGCATGTAAAAAATCTACGTTGTTTTCATGAATAACACACAGGTCGTGTTTGAATTTTCGAGGATTTATTTGAGGAAACATACATCATAATAACTATACACACATATGTATGTCAGATTATATCATATTCACAATCATTCATATTTAGGTTCATTCATTTAATCCAATTTTGTTTTCACAGCAACCGATTTTGATTTCCTCTCGAAAATCAGCGGAAAGAAAGGTTTCTCCAAATAATAGATAAATATCTACTCTGGTAAAAACAAATAATATTTTGTGTGATGAGATTTTTCGGAGATATTTCGTTATGAAACCGTTGAAACTGTATTTGATTTTCGTTATTTGTTGTTCGAATCATCATGGTTGTATTATTTTTCTATTAAAAAGATATATCCTTTCGTGTGCTATTTGTGAATAATTTATTATTCCACTACGATGTTCTTGAATAACTAGCAACTGAAATAAAATACTTATTACATTGTTGCATTATTTTCATGTCAACCTTTGGAGAAAATGTCATAGATTGTACAGCAGATGTGTTTACCACCATCTGTTGTTCGTTCTGTCGACATGTCGTTATTAGATGCACCAGGCCCTGACAATCAGTCAGTGTTTAGATCGTAATTGTTCGCATTTTTAGTTGTTTGTTTGTTTGTTTTATAACGCTGCACTCAGCAATATTCCAGCTATATATGGCGGCGGTCTGCAAATAATCGAGTCTGGACCAGACAATCCAGTGATGAACATGATGAGCAATTGGAACAGGATGACATGTGTCAACCCAGTCAGCGAGCCTGACCTCCCGATCCCGTTAGTCGCATCTTACGACAAGAATGGGTTACTGATGACCAATTCTAACCTGGATGTTCACGGATCTATATCTTAAATGTGTAGGCATAGTGATAGTTCATTATATGTTCATTATACAAAAAATACTGTTCCAGGTTCACTCTTTGGTATAATTACGAAATATGGCGGTGTTCTTATGTGCAGCAGCCATAAAAGATTTGACGAGTTTCCCGAAGCTGAAAACACTGTTGATATTCACGCTGTTTGTGAGTTTCCCTTGAATTGTTATCACATTCATTTTTCACTTTTAATGTATACTAGTAAA